CACGCACACACAGACACACCAAAAAGAACAATATGAGGTAACCTTCATAACTTCGGCCTGATCTATTTCGTTCTCACAATCTCTCTTTAGCTTTTCTTTGGTTCGTTCTATCTCCTTATCAACAATGCGAACGGCCTCCTCCAACCTCTCATACACCTATACAAATTCACACATGAAAAGTGTACAAACAAATATTGCGATTTCAAAACATGACATCTTGGAAGCAGTCAATAAAAAAAGATAAGTCTAGAAGGGACATACATCAACGTCATAAAAATGATCTTTCTCCTTCTGCGCGTTTTCATAATCCGCTTTGTGTGCACTTTCGTGAATCTGAAAATGGTACTGGAATCGATAAAAAATGTAGTAGAAAATTACAAGCAATAACTCTTCCGAAAAAACGTTGCAGGAAAGACTGAAAAAACGGAACTTGTACACTCCAAATAGCAGTTCCAGATGCACAAAAACTTTAGCTATTGTACCACATGCACCTATATTAAAAAAAACTAGCAATTAACGTATAATTTAACTTCAGCTTGTTACTAGACGCTGTAGGTGGCTTAAAATAATATATTTTAACGACAGAGACTCAAAGAATTTGGAATGTAAATAGATTTAATAGATGACTGTCGAGTAAGGAGACTTCATTTACCTAGAACTGTAATCCCTAAGCCAAAAGTACATTACATATCACATAATTATCCTGAAAAACAAAAAAAACTGCTCAAGCACTGCAAATGCACGAGTAACAAGGTTTAGTGTGATTATCGATTTAAATCACATATCATCGTATAATAGGAAATACAACTGAGTTTGTAATAGTCGACACCAGCCTTTCAACTTTTCGTCATAATTCCGGCGCCCTTTACAGAGTACTCAAAAGGTCGACCCCGGCATTTTCCGGACCCAAATAATGTAAAGCGCCTTTCTAGTGCAATCGCTTAATTAAGAAAAGAACTCACGTCCAAAGGACCTCGAGAATAAATTAAACGCCTTGTGTTTTTCAGTCAGTAGCGAAAACTATGGATGAACACAATGAAGCGTCTGATACGGATGTGCCATGAAGGTTCAACACGAATTTGTAGGAGAATCATTTTCAAAAATCTGAAGTAAAAACAAACCTTATTACAAGCAACAAATGATTCGAGCCTCGTGTCGGCCAATATTTCATGTGGACAACAACCAAGTAAAAATGCCCGACATACCGAATGGTGATTATAGGGCACTAAAACTCTCCCCTCTTCTTCGGCTCGATTTGAACCCATTAACTGGTTTATCATATCTCGCATTTCCGCCGTCATGTTGTAAACACTGAAAAACACAATAAAAAGCTTACTGGAGAAAACGGGAAACAAACGGTTCCGTAACTCATCCTTTATATGAACGAAAATCTGTTTGTACACATAAACAAAGCACTTAATGAACAACCAACGAACCAAATAATAACTGTGGCGATTTTTGTCAATGCACACAAAACTCAGGGTAAATTCAGAATTAATAACTAATATTTAAAGACAGAAAAACCTTTTTTACCATAAGAGTACAAAACAGAACAGAAAAGCCACCTAAATTTGAATTTGGAAATCAGACTGTTAACTCCTAAGCGATATATTACCAATTTAAATGCGAAAATCTGGTTGGAAAACTGTGGCGAACAGGTTAAGTAAGCCGAAATCCAATAATAAACGTATTTTGAGGCAGCAAATGGAAGATAAAAACTGAAAGCTAAATTAATAAAGTTGAAGCCGTAGTAACTTTGAATACAAACACTAATACACAAAAGTTAATAAAGAGCCGGAATGGAAATTACAAACTAAAAAAATACAAATTTTCTCAATTTCTTTATTTTTCAAAATAAAAGTTGTTTTGAATATACATGAATGTTCACCAGTGGTTTCTGCAGCTTAGACAGAAGACAATTACGTGCCTATTACAACAATCAGTCCTGTGGAAATGTATCATGCTAGATTAATCTAAACTTTCAAAAACGGGGAACTAAAAATTGAGAAAATACTGCGATAATCCACGACGAGAAAAGAAAAGAACAGGATGCCTTTGTTTACAACAATACCAAAATATATATATGTAATTTTTTTTTCTGCGATTAAACAAAAAGTCAATACGAAATGGCAGTAAATAACAAAGTCCCACAATAACTG